ACAGCCCTCAGCCCCTCACCCAGATTGGCCAGGCACCCCAGTGGGGACCCCTACCCTGAAGGGTGTGTGACCAGCTGCAAACAGCCATCATCCCCTCACCCAGGCTGGCCAGGCACCCCAGTGGGGACCCCCACCCTGAAGGGTGTGTGACCAGCTGCAAACAGCCATCATCCCCTCACCCAGGCTGGCCAGGCACCCCAGTAGGGACCCCCACCCTGATCCAGGACACCCTTCAGGGCAAACCAGCCAGCCCCGACCCATGCACCAGGCCTCTATCCTATATAGTAAAAGGGTAATATGCCTCCAAGCACCGGGATCAGCGGAGCTGCGAGGCCTCCCAGCACCGGGATCAGCGTGACAGGGGGCAGCGCCCAAACCCCCTGATCGCCCTGCAGCTCTGTGTGTGACAGGGGGCAGGGCCACAACCTCCCTATCCGCCCTGCTCTGTTCGTGACAGGGGAAGGCGCCCCAACCCCCTGATCAGCCCTGCTATGTGCCTGATAGGGGGGAGCTCCCCATCCCCCTGATCAGCCCTGCTGTGTGTGTGACAGGGTGCGGCGCCCCAACCCCCCCCTCAAGGGCCCTGCTCTGTGTGTGATGGGGTAGAGCCATAACCTCCCCATCGGCCCTGCCCTGAGTGTGACAGTGGTGGTGCCCCAACCCCCTGATCGGCCCTGCTCTGTGTATGACAGGGGGCGGTGCCCCAACTCCCCTATGAGCCCTACTCTGTGAGTGACAGGGGGGAGCTCCTCAACCCCCTGATGGGCCCTGCTCTGTGCGTGACAGGGGGGAGCTCCCCAACCCCCTGATCGGACCTGTTGTGTGTGTGACAGGGGGTGGCGCCGAAACCTCCCTATCAACCCTGCCTTGAGTGTGACAGGGGGCGGTGCCCCAACCCCCCAATCGGCCCTACCCTGAGCGTGACTGAGGGTGGCATCGCAACCTCCCAATCCGCCCTGCTCTGTGCATGACAGGGGGCGGCGCCCCAACTCCCCAATCGGCCCTGCTCTGAGCCCGACCAGGGGCTGCACCTAGGGATTGGGCCTGCCCTCTGCCACCCGGGAGCAGGCCTAAGCCAGCAGGTCGTTATCTCCCGAGGGAGTCTGGGATTGCGAGAGGGCACAGGCCGGGCTGAGGGACCCTTCCCTTCCCCCCCCCCCCCCCCCGAGTGCACAAATTTTTGTGCACCGGGCATCTAGTATATATATATATACATATATATATATATATATATATATATATATATATATATGTATATATATGTGTGTGTGTGTGTGTGTGTATATATATATATATATATATATAGATATAGATATATATTTATTTATTTATTTTTAAAGAGTTAATGGGTTAAACAGTTTCAGTTTGAGAGGACGAAAAAGTTCCAGAGGTGGATGGTGATGATGGTTGCACAATACTGTGAATGCACTTAATGCCTCACTTAAAAAAGTTAAAATGGTACGCCCTCGCTGGTTTGGCTCAGTGCATAGAGCATCAGCCTGCGGACTGAAGGGTCCCGGGTTTGATCCTGGCCAAGGGCACATGCCCGGGTTGTGGGGCTGTGCAGGAGGCAGCCAATCAATGATTCTCTCTCATCATTGATGTTTCTCTCTCTCTCTCCCTCTTCCTTCCTCTCTTAAATCAATAAAGAAATATATATTTTTTAAAGTTAAAATGGTAAATTTCATGTCCTGTCTATTTTATGTCAATGAAAGGAAATAAACAATCCAAGTTGCCCGGGACCAGGCCTTGTCATCATGTCCCCCATGTGAGCGGAGGCGGGACCAGCCCTCGGGCAGCGGCCAGTGTGGCTCCGCTGTCCCATGCGCAGGCCTGTACAGAAAGGCACACAGACATTTCCCCAGAACAACAGCCTTTTCCCACCCGGGCCAAGCGCGCATGTGGGAGAAAGAAGATTTCTGCTGACTCTGCAGGCGCCGTTCACTGACCTCCAGGGTTCAGGGTCTCTCGGTGACTGGGAGGCTTGCCTGATGCATTTTCTCAAAATGAAATCATTCTCTCCGGGGCACTTTTCATTGACCACTCCCTCTACCTCTGGTGCAGAAAACTGCTGGCACCTTCTACCTGGCAGAGTGAAACCTCTGCTCCATGCACCTGGCCACGCACTGACAGACTGATGCGCTATCTAATCTGCGGGACCTGACAGATAGAACTCGCCTTCAAAGAAATGCTAATCTCCCTCGGGTGCTGGTCACTGTCAGCGTCCAGGAGCTTCTCAGTGGGAAGGTTGGTAACCCTTTCAACCCTCACTTTGCAGCAGAACATTGAGAACACTGGAATAGTAGGGTGCCACTGGGGGCATGAGCCCTGACCGGGAACCGAACCGTGACCTCCTGGTTCATAGGAGTAGGGTGCTTTTAGGGTGATATTCGGTTCTCTAACAACACAGCAGTAAAATCACAATCTTAGCAGAGCAGAGGCAGAACGGACATTATGAAAAGTTTGAAGTGCATACAGTACTTCCCAGGGGCCTGAGAATCAATGTGCCTCCTGAGGGTAACGAAAGCTCAGGGAGTACGGCCACAGGAAGGGGCCTGTAGGACCCAGCGGGCAGGAGCGAGGAAGAGGCCCGTTTCTCCCTCTGTCGCTCTCGTCCTCTCCCCGTCCCCGCAGTGTCCAGGCAGCACATTACCTGTCAATGTACACTGAGGGGCGGGCCCTGCAGCGACTCATGCGAGCCCCCGCACCTTGGACCTGACTCAAGGCTGGACCTGAGCAGGACTCCCCCCACTCTGAGCTGGTGCCTAGGAGCGGGCAACACTTCTGGTCAGGTGGGGCCTCGCCTTGGTCTCCTAACTTGTAAAACTGGGGGACACGTGTGAATTGAATCAGTGCTTCTCAAATCCTCGTGTAGGAACTGGTGCTGAACTGGGAAGGTTTTGTTTTTCACAGGCCCATGGAGAAAAGAGAAAATGTGCTCCCCCAAAAGATGGGTTTTTCATAAATCTAATTTGTTTCTATTAGAACAGTAAAGCTACATTTTGTTATATTCACTTTAATGTAACATCATAGGGGTGGCAGTGACTATTAGGTGTTTTCTTTACTTCATGTGAGTAATAAAAAGTCGGCCACTCTAGATAGGTCTCGCAAATCCTCTTTTGGAACTTCATCAGTCTGCCCGATCCAAAAATGGTGGAAACTGTTAGATGAACTCAACTCCAGGTTCCCTAATCTTTAAACTTCTTTGTGCCCATAGATTCGACTCCATAGAGTATCTGGAGGGCATCTAAATATCTGACAGCCAGATACTAATTTACCATGAAAAACTGAGCCTAATACTCGGGCAGAAATCCTGTCTTATAGCCCTGGTTTCGTGGCATCGCTCTCCCTGCCTTATTCCTCCCACCTACTGCACACAGCGGATGCCACACAGACTGCCGCCTCTCTCAATCCCTGGTCAATAATTGACTTGACTTGGGCAGGTACCTACATGCTTTCAGAAAACCTTCAGGGAAGGAAATTACTCTGACCTTTTCCCTAGATAGCAGTCTGCATTCCAATCTTTTCCCTGGATAATAGAAGACTCTACCTCATCCTGCTGCTCTCATCCAGCTCTGGCCGCAGTGTCAGAGATAGCGGGGCGGGGGGGGGGGGGGGGGGACGGGGGGGGGGGGGGGGGGGGGGTGGCTGCCACCAGCAGGGCCCACACAGAGGAGCCAGTGCCTTGGGAACAGTGGGTTACTCAGTCTCCATTTGCAAGTTGCTCATAGTGGTTATTTCCAATCACCATGTAAGGTCCTGCTGGGGGTGGATAGAGAAATGAGAGGAATCTTGACGTACGCTGATACTTAAACATCACTGCACTTACCACATGCAGATGTACTAATTTGAAGAAAAGATAGCTCTGTTGTTGAGGTTCTTGTTTTTGTCCGAGTACCCAGTTTCCACTGGAGGTGTAAGATCCAAACTCTTTCTGAATCCTACTCTAAACTAGGTTCTTTATTTGTATAAAACTGTGCTTCTTTCCTTCGCATTTATCTCGATCTCTAATGGGATATAACTGCAGCATTTGTCCATGCAATTAAGAGCCCCCTCTGGATGCAACGTACTAAGTGGTCCCGAGTCAGGCACAATTTTGTTTCCCGTTGTACGCCCTGCACGACATGTCCAGCACACGGCAGGCACTGAATACCCGCTACCGACTGAATAAGCAAGAGGGAGTGCCAGGCACTGGTCTCTGCTCAAGGGCACGTTGTCAAAAACACTTACTTGTTCTCAGCAACCGCTTTCTGCTACTCCAGGCTTTCGAGTCTAATGGCTTGAAATATACACCAACACCAACCAACCGTTTGGAACCTGAATATTGGGGGACATCCACTGACAACCTCCCTGGCCTTTTCTGGAACCCCTGCCCAGACTGTCACACTGCTAAAGTAGTTCTACAACTGGGCTAAGTCGGCTGCAGCAAAAGGAGATGACAGTCCTGTGTTGGGTTTTCCTTCTCTTCATTAGTGACAGAATTTGTAGGAAGCAAAGACCACAGGGACTCCCCCAAGTTGGCCCCTTTGAGAACTATCAGATGGAGGAGGTGCTGCCTTGTCCTGTGGGCAAGGAGTGGCCCTGCCCCAAGGGTAGGGCAGGCCCTGGGAACAGGAAAAGCTTATCCCAGGGTCCAGACTTAGCATCCTCTTTTGGAAGCAATGGCTACGTTTACGAATGTAAGTTTTTAAAAAAGCATTAGCTTTCAAAGCCTGAATGTAGGCATCACCATTGCTTGTGTGGGAATCTGGTCCATTGAGATCCAATCCATTTGCTACAATCACACTCCAGCCAGTAAGAAAACAAGGACAGCAGACCACTCGGAACCCGTGGGCTGCTCAGACTCTCCAACATCCAAGCCCTCTTGCATTGGGAGTAAGACCCGAGCCTCTGGACCCTGGGATTATTAGTCCACTGAAGGAAGAGGCCTGCTGCTAGGTCTCAAGCAACTAACGGGGAAATGGACATATTAAAATCGTTTTTAAAAGAATACAGACAGTCGGCAGTGCCGCCGCCGTCGCCGCCGCAGGTGTAGCCGCGCTCCAGCCTCTCGGTCGGGCTCGCCTGTCCCGGACTCTCCCCGGCTCTGAGCGTCCCTACCCAGGGACGACCGGAGAGTCTGCTCACCGCCCGTCTCGGCCGTGCTCCGCTCCTCGGGCGTGCGAGGGGCCGCGGCGGTGGTTGGCAGCGGCGCCCGGCATGTATCAGAACCCGCGGCGGCTCTGCTCCGCCCTGCTGCTCAGGGACGCGCCCGGCCTGCGCCGCCGGCCCGGCCCCGGCCCGCGCGGGCAGTCGTCCCCGCGGGCGGCCGCCCCCCGACCAGCGTCCCCCCGGCTCCTGGTGGCTGCCTCGGGCGCCGCGACGCTGTGTTCGCGAACAGCCTGTTCCATGGGAAACGGCACGAGCAGACTCTATAGTGCTCTTGCCAAGACACTGAACAGCAGCGCTGCCTCCCAGCACCCAGAGTATTTGGAGTCGCCTGACCCAGAACATCTGGAGCCCATTGATCCTAAAGAGCTGCTTGAGGAATGCAGGGCAGTCCTGCACAGTCGACCTCCCCGGTTCCAGAGGGACTTTGTGGACCTGAAGACAGATTGCCCCAGTAGCCACCCCCCTATAAGGGTCATGCAATGGAACATCCTCGCTCAAGGTAAGGCCGATGCTTTTGTTCCTGAGCATTAAGTTTGTGGTGACTGCCTTTCTGCCTCTGCACTTGCCAGGGCACTGATGTCTCACGTGGAGGGAAGAGGTGTGGGCAAATGGGAGGTGTAAGATGGGGTGACAAGGGCAGCATCCGCTCCCAGAAGGGCAAGTTAGGAAAGCAACTCGAAACGTATTCCTTACCTTCCATGTTTGTAGGCCATCCAGATACAATGAAAGTCTACTTCCCAGCACTTCAAAATCTAAAGGACCCCATCACTTGTCAGCCTCAAAACTTTTGTTGTCTCCACTTTCAGTCCACAGCATTAAGATAGCATTTGCAAGGGAGAAACTGAGTCTCCTGAATGGTTACATATGGAACTTGCTACAGGGAATGGGAGCTGTGTGGGTGTGCTGAACCTGTCATTCTTATGGCCATCTTCTCACCCATTCACATCTCCATCAACTTTCCCTAGTGTTCTCTCTCATGTAGCAGTTGAAATTTTAAGGAACGGGAACAAGGGCTGCTTTTTTGCCCCTTCCTCCCCAAGAAAAGGGCATGCTTGCTGACTTCCCAATCTTTGGTTCATTCGTTTTTTTCCAGCTGTTCATTCATAAGTAGGAAAAGCTGCCTATTTAGGATCCCATTCATTCTGAGTGGTGTCTGTATCCATTCATAGTCAGTGTTGAAATTAGTATATAGAGTTAAACCTATCTATCTCATCTGACATAGTTTAGATCCCTAGAACTGCAAAGAATACTGTTTAAAGCTAAAACTTAATGCCGTTTAGGCGGAGAATCACCCACAGCGCCTGAAGGAGGAAGCCCTGGGAGGGTCTTGAGTCATATCAAAAACCCAAGGAGATTCCCAGGAACTTAACAATCATGATTCTGTAGTAGCTGACAACCGACTGGCTTTTTTATTTCAGCTCTCGGGGAAGGAAAAGACAACTTCGCACAGTGCCCCGTGGAAGCACTCAAGTGGGAAGAGCGGAAGTGTCTCATCCTAGAAGAAATCCTAGCCTACCAGCCTGACATCTTGTGTCTCCAAGAAGTGGACCACTATTTTGACACCTTCCAGCCACTCCTCAGCAGACTGGGCTATCGAGGCACATTTTTCCCCAAGCCCTGGTCACCTTGTCTCGATGTAGAACATAACAATGGACCAGATGGCTGTGCCTTGTTCTTCCTCCAGAACCGCTTCAAGTTAGTCCACAGTACCAATATCAGGCTGACGGCCATGGCATTGAAAACCAACCAGGTGGCCATTGTACAGACCCTAGAGTGCAAGGAGTCCAGTCAACAGCTCTGCGTCGCTGTCACCCACTTGAAAGCACGATCCGGCTGGGAGCAGTTTCGATCAGCTCAAGGCTGTGATCTTCTCCGGAACCTGTAGAACCTCACCCAAGGAGCCAAGATTCCCCTTATTGTTTGTGGGGACTTCAATGCAGAGCCAACAGAGGACGTCTACAAAAATTTTGCTTCCTCCAGCCTCAACCTGAGCAGCGCCTATAAGCTGCTGAGTCCAGATGGGCAGTCAGAACCTCCGTATACTTCCTGGAAGATCCGGACCTCGGGGGAGTACCGGCACACCCTGGACTATATCTGGTATTCTAAACACTCTCTGAGTGTGAGGGCAGCTCTGGATTTGCTCACTGAAGAACAGATTGGAGCCAGTCGGCTCCCATCCTTCAATTATCCTTCTGACCACCTGTCTCTAGTGTGTGACTTCAGCTTTAATAATGAACCTGATGGACTTTCATAAACACTTTGTAATCACAAGTCTTAACCAGGGATGTTTCAGGAAAACTGAGGTTAGGATACGTTGCCCGAGGAAGGATTCCCAGTTTCTCTCACTTCACTTTCCATGTTTCCAGCATGCCTTGGAGAAGGAATCCCACTAGTTAACAAACGTTTTCCATTAAACCCTTCAGCGAAAAAGGTGTTTGCACTCCAGTTTTGGCTTGTTTTTTTCTCCTTTCCCCTAGCATTAAATTTAGATCAATTAAGGGCATTAAATTAGTCTTGTTGTGAAGTTTTCAGTTTGATGATGCTATATAAAAATACTTTGTCTTCCATAATTAACAAGTATGCAGGAACAATTTCCTCTAGACAGTATTTCAAGTTATTTATTTGTGGTTTTAAGTATCAACAAGATATGCATGGCAGTATTTATTTTTTTTGTATCTTCATGTGAAAATAATAGCATTACAAACATTTAAGAACCATGCAAAATGTAAGTTAGAGAGTAATTTATAGTAATTTTCTTAAGGCTTTAAGATGTTTTTATTTGGGGTCTAACAAAATAGTGTACAAATAGTGTACAAAGGAACTATTTAGCCTGGAGGCCCCAGGGGTTTTTTTTTTGTTTTAAGTGGAAATAGCTGGTCTCGATAAGTTCTTCATAACAATTCTTGCTGTGCCTCCATGTTCCCCATTATTTTATTTCTTGAAGATTCCATGACCAGTTTGGTCTTTGTCATTTAATCACTGCTGTGCATTTACAGATTTCTGTTGGAATGCTACTGGTATACATTTGATTTGTGGCCACTCAGTGTCACAGTGATTTGTATTGGAATGTGCTGTTCACGATGGGTTATTTAGGAGCAGTGGCTGGTAAAGTCAGGGGGACCTTCTTTTCAGAGATGGGCAACCAGAAAGCCTGTTCACAGGCTGTCATTGTAATTTCCTAAGACAGCCAGGTGACTGGCTCAGAGTGTCTAGAAAGAATGTAAAAGGAAAGATAACCTGGAATTCTCTTTCCTTGGGGGGAAAAAAGTGGTCAAGGTGAAGCCCCTTCCAAACAAAGTCCCAGCAAATAACCTATGGGTAATAAATTGAATATTTTAATCCATGAATTGTATATATTTAAAATTAATAAATGGTCTTTTGAAACTAAAAAAAAAAAATAAAAAAAAAATAAAATAAAAGAATACAAATAGTTACTATTGAGAAAAAAGGAACAAGCCCAATTTCTAAATTATTAGGTTTTTCACAATAGCAAAAAAAAAAAAAGTAAACAATCCCAACGCCCAGCCTTTGAGGTATTGTCATATATTAATTTGAAAGACTATAGAGCCATTAAAATAATAAATGCATGGCCTGTGTCAACACATGGAAAAGCAGGTGGGAATAAAGAGAAAAAAGATACACACACACGTTCACTGATGGCTACCATGGAAAATCATGTTTAGACAATGATAAGAATGAAAAACAATAGAGTTAAGCAAATAGGTGGTGTTTTCACGTGAAAGGGTTCTTTGTGTTTAGGGGAGGTGCGATGTGTGAGTCCCCCTAGGAGATTGTTTTTAAAATAGCAAAGCTAGTTGGTGTGGCCTTTCATAGGGACTGTGTGGTCACATCTTCCCAAGGCTCGAGTCCTCAGGGTTGTCCTGGGCACAAGAACCTAAGAAGTCAGTCTATGCTGCAACCCTCCTCCCTAGCTCTGCCCTCCCTAAGACCCCCAGGGTCCCAGGTGTCTCTCTCTCTCTCTCTCTCTCTCTCTCTCTCTCTCTCTCTCGTCTTTACACAAACCAAGCTCCTTGGCCCACTCTCTCAGTCTTGCACTCGGCTCCTGGGGGGGGCAGCCGACACCGTGAGTTAACCTCGGCTTATATAACTAGTCAGAGCATACCAGAGTGTTTGTTACCTTAGGAAATATTTTTTTTTCTAGTATAATATTATTTTCTACCCCCTCACCTCTAATTTTAAAAGTAACAGGTGCCTATTATAAAGAATTTCTCATTTTATAAGTGACACTGGGAAACAATCCACAGTAGTTCCTAGGGGTGTCTTACACGCGTGCGCTGTGTGTGGCGGCTCAGCCCCTGGCCACAGCTGCTGGACAGGGTGACACCTGCCACAAGAGCAGCCAAACCACAGTGTACGAAAGCCTCCTGTGGCTTTACTGTGACTGCTGAGCCAGTCGGATGCTCTCAGGGAATTTAAATGTGAGGACCCAGGAGGGAACGTGGGTGGGCGTAGCATTAGCCTGAGGACATGCAGAGAAAGGAGGGAGCCAGAGCTGGACACCGCAGGACCCGTCCACAAAGGAGCCACAGAGGGAGCAGACCGGACTGAGCTGGAGCCAGGGGAAGAGAGGGAGGGGAAGAGAGAGGAGGAGGAAGGAGGGGGAGAGAGAAAGACATGGGAGAGAGACGGAGATGACATTAGGCTCTCAGCTTCCTGGGGAAGGGCCCATGCTTGTACTGTGCCTGGAGATGAGCAGTGCCTGGCTCAGGGAAGTCACCCAATGGGAGGGTGTGGCCTGCCTGGCAGACACGTGAGGAAGCAACAAGCAGGGCGGATGGCGCCTCTGAGGGGTCGCCTGTCGCATCTGCAGAGCCTAAGCAGGCGCCAGTCTCCACCTCACCCACAGGGTCCCCATTCCAGCCTCCTGTGCCGACGAGACCCCCCTCTCCCTCGCTGCCCCACGGTTCTCGACAGTGAGCCTCAGTGTGTACGATACCTTTTTTGTTGTTGTAGTTCCTGAAAGCTCAGAGTCCAACAGAGAAATGTAAACAAAGGACAGAATAAAAGTCCTCTAGGAGCCAAAGATGATGACTGTCCACTTTCACCCTGAAAACATACTGTTCTGTTCCACTTTTTTATTCTTAACAAGTGAAATATTTCCACACCACGGACAAGCTTTTTAAAACGTGATTCAGTGACTACGTGTAGGGGTGTTAGGTGTTAGGTGTTAGACACTTAGGTTATTTCTGACAGCTCGCTTTGTAAGTAACGCCCTCTGTCTGTGAAGTTTGTGGCAGCTTTACTCCTAGTTGCTAAGGCACTGAAAGCAACTCGAACGCCTGGCAGGAAAATGGATAAACAAGCCACGGTACATCCATACAACGGAACACTACTCGGCAACACAAAGGAACAAACCACTGATGAGTGCAAAATAGCGGGTGCCCCCCGGAAACATTATGCAAAATGAAAGCAGCCAAACGCGAAAGACGACACAGTGTGATCCCATTCATACGATGTTCATGAAAAGGCTAGAGAGCAGATCAGTGGTCGCCAGGGCTGCGCAACGGCTCACGGAAGGGGACTGACAATATAGGGTAGCACAGATGAAGGCACTGAGACGGTGGGGACCTTTTTCATTGTGATGGCATCAAGCAGATGCCATTCGTTGCAATTTACCTCAGCTTGCAGAGAGGTGTTAAGATCTGGTGGGCAGTTCAGACAGAGAACTCACACAGCTGTTAAAAGGTCTGAGCGACTTCACCAACTTACCCCATCACAAGAGCTGCACTACTTCCCCACCCGGGTTGTCTGCACACATCTCCGGCTCATGGGCCTCAGCATGGACCTCATTTCCTCAGACGCACCTGGTGATCCCCCAAGCTCGGAACTCAGAGCCGGCCCTCCTCTGCTCCCTCTATCCCCAGCCAGCTGATGCCCAAGCCTGTAGGCGCTGGGTCATAAATACACCTCATTTCCTACTTGGGACTCTCAGTCTTCCTCCTCTCACGGCAACAATCTACCCACTGGCCTCGCTGCCTTCACTCTGTCCCGGAGTCGGAGTCATCGTCTGGAGACTAATGTGGATAAAGGGTCGAACAAAGCCCTCAATGTCTGACCTCCAGTTGAACTTGGCTGTCCCTTCTCCCACCAGCCCTCAGGCTCCCATCTCTCCAGCCGCAGAGCTGCACCTCAGGCCCTGAGCATGTGTGTTCTTCACAGCTCACGCTCCCTGCCCAGAAGGTACCCTTATCCATCGGTAACCACACTCATCCCTGTCCCTCTTGAAGCCCCCCAATTCCCTCAGCAGCCACGCCTCCGAAAGCCCTTACGGAATTTCATGTTTTCATGTGTGTCTCCCTCTGGACTCTGAGTCTCCAGGGGACAGAAAATGTGCGCCCAGGGATGCCACCAAGCACAGAGTGGGAGCCACACGCATGGCCTGGCCTGATAGTATCCGTTCTCATGCATATAGATTTGAGCAGCTCCATGCAGCTGGGACAGAGAACAAGAAAAGGGATTCCTTATAAGCACTGAAGAGGTGCGAGGGTGGTGACCCCGTTCAGGGGTCAGTTCTGTGCCAGACACTTCCTATATGACCTCATCGAGTCCTCACTACAACGTGTGAAGATAGTAGTATCACCATATTTTATAGGAAACCAGACTCGATCGTACCCGGGCCTCAGAGAGGCCTGGTCCAGGCCCAAGGCCCAAAGCTGCACTCAGCTACGCATTGGCTCCAGGACACACTTTTATCATTTATCTCCAACATATGGTGTGAACACTGCTCAGGGCCACATGTCCTGGGGTAACTTGCTAAGTTTAGGGGTGGCTACAGAACGGGGAAGGAAAACTCAGTGAGTTGTTTTCATTTGAATGGCCTTTTGATTGGTGGAATATAGTTTCTTTCCACCTTGGGCTTGATTTGTTGATTACTAAGTGCCCTCATATCCCACCTACAAAGCAGAGACATCCGGGCGCAGTGCTCCAGCTCACTGGCCCACAATTAAGTATGGGTTGGCAGTGGGGGCTGCAGCTCCCATGGAACCCTAAAAACTTGCCATTAATTAATAAAATAAGCCTGGCCCGTTTGGCTCAGTGGATAGAGTGTCAGCCTGTGGACCAAAGGGTCCCAGGTTCAATTCAGGTCAAGGGCACATACCTCGGTTGCAGGCTCCTCCCCGGCCCAGGCCCTGGTTGGGCTCATGTGAGAGGCAACCAACTGATGTGTTTCTCTCACATTGACATGTCTCTCTGTCTTTCCCTCTCTCTTCCACTTCCTCTAAAAAAAATCAATGGGAAAACATCTTCATTTGAGGATTTAAAAAAAAAGGGAATAAAAATGACTTTGGATTTGAGTGAAATAAAATGGAGTCACTATGGTCAAACTAAATTTTTAACTTCAAGTGGGCTGCAGGATAAGAAAATCATTATTCTTGTTCTAACTGACTCTGGGAACTTAAACTTTTGCACTTTCTACTCTTGTGTTGATAACTGGATACACAGTGCATTACGCACTAATGACCGAACATACCTCGAGCCTTCACAATGACCTCAGGAGGGAAATGCTCCACTGGACACCTGACGGTCACCATCCTGCTCCAACCTGGGAGTTAAGAAGGCAGAACTGATTCTTCTCAAGAATGTGCTTTTAACTGTAAAGCCCTCAGCTTTTCTTTCTCCTTTGGAACACTCCGGGCAGGTCCTA